AAGGCCGTATCACACTGCAGGCTGGCGGTGGCGTTGGCGCTGGCGCTGGCGTTGGCGGTGGGCGTTGCACCAATCACACTTGAGCGTTGCCGCTGCGGTTGGCGCTGGCGTTCACAGCCTTCCAATGCTCCTGGATACGTTAATTTTCGTTAAGAAAAGGCGCATTTTCCGCCAACTTTTGGCGTCTGCTCAGTTCGAGTTTGTAAACACCCTATCACACAAATATATAGGTGTCCAGTGTTGATTTTATAATGGTTAGAATTACAAATCGCTATCGCCAATATCAAGATTACATGTATAGAAGAAGAAGAGCTATTATTGCTTTATTTGGTGTTGTATTAATACAAGAAATATCGAAGCGTTTCCCAGAGAGAAGTGTATGGGTGCATCACTACATTGCACGAAGAGATCGGCTTGGGTGTCACAACACTCTTTTTATGGAGTTACGTACAGAAAATCCAGAAAAGTACAGAAAGTGAGTAAAGTGTGACATGTTGTGTTACTGTAGCCTTCAAGTAAATGGTAGGAAGTGCCCATCCTACTTGTGTGCTTTCCTTTTTCAGGTGTCTACGAATGACTCCAGAAATGTTTCAATGGCTCGCTGACACTATTAGGCCTCTGGTGCAAAAGCAGGACTCACATCTGAGGCGCAGTATATCAGTCGAACAGCGCCTCTCCATCACACTCCGACATTTAGCAACAGGTAAATTGTTTTGACAAACTTATGCATCTTAATACTATGATTTTGTACCATTACTAGCTGGAGTCTAAAACAAATTTCTTTCAGGTGAAACTCAAGAGTCTCTGCATTTCCATTTTCGGGTTGGCCAGAGTACCATATCTGGTATTATCAGAGAAGTATGTCAGGCTCTGCATTCGGTTCTGAAAGAAACGTACCTGAGGTTCCCTACATCCCATGAAGAATGGCGAAATATTGCTTCTGAATGTGGCAGCCGGTGGAATTTTTATAATTGCATTGGAGCTATGGATGGCAAGCATGTCCTGATTGAGCCCCCCATCAACTCTGGGTCAACTTACTATAATTACAAAGAAACATTTAGTATAGTTTTGCTGGCAATAGTCGATGCTGGTTTAAGATTTATTTATGTGGATGTGGGTACCAATGGTCGTGTTGGAGATAAAGGAGTGTGGAACAAGTGTTCAATGAAAAAATATTTAGAAGAGAATAGTATGAGTATTCCACCTCCATGTCCTCTGCCAGGCACTGATAAAAACTTCCCATTTGTAATTGTGGGGGATGAAGGTTTTGCCCTCACAAATCAAGTTATGATACCCTTCTCTAAGGAGCACTTGAGAGGAGAAAATTCAAAAGTCAGAAGAATATTTAACTACAGGTGAGACAAACACAATATTCCTACCAGTGGAGCAAGACTAATTATTTGTTTTCTTTCCTGAAGTGCCTCACATGCAAATTAATTTCTTCTAGGTTGTCAAGGGTTCGGCGCTGCTCTGAAAATGCTTTTGGATTAATTGTAAATCGATTCCAAATTTTGAGAAGTCCTATGCGGTACGATCCTGATGTAGCACGTAATATCACACTTACAATACTGTGCTTGCACAATTTGCTGCGTACTGATACCTTAGGGCGGAAGCTGTATTCACCACCTGAAATGCTGGATAGTGAGGACGAGTTGACTGGTGTAATTCACAGAGGAGCATGGCGTGAAGAAGGGGGGAATGGTCTACAAGACTTAGCCCGTCAAGGTGGGAACCGCCATGCTGCAAGCCCCCTTCAGCTGAGAGAGGATTGGGCGGAGTATTTCAATGGTCCAGGAGCTGTCCCTTGGCAAGAACGAATGGTGTCCCTCCCACAGTAAATTATTATTGTCATTGGCCTATTTGTTAATGTAGATTGTTAAATGTTTAAACTGTAAATGCATGTTAGAATTTTATTGTTTGGATATGTTTTGTCTGACTTTGAGTTTGACTTTGAATGTGCTGAATATATAGCTCTTTGATTACATAACAATTCCCAGTCTTTAAAATATTCCTCTCCATTCTGTTTTCTATTTGGGGTCTCATTACCCCACAGTTCAATCCTATAATAAAGATGCTATTAGTCAAATAAAAATCCATTGAGTACAACTGAATTGTATTGCCAGTCAGAAATACAACAATGACATACAAACTATAAAAAGAGAGACTTAAACTAATCTACATATAAAGAGGCATATGTATGAAAAAAACACCCGTAAGGTATAGGAACCTGAAAGTAGTACTTTGGATAACAGTCCTAAACTAAAAGTAATCTACATAAGTGGCACATGAGAGTAATACATTAGTAATAGAAGTACTTTGGTTTTAAGTCAAAATTGGCAAAATAATGCAAGCTAATAAAGTAAAAACACTTTGGCATTTAGCTCACCTAAGT